TTGAAATCTCTCAAAGGATAAATTAATATCTCTTGTTAGAAACCTTAGATGAATAAAGAATTATGTGCAAAACTAGGCAAGCCGAAAAGGCAACTGATTTGTAGAGATCATGTAAAGTATCTGAATAGCTTAAGAAATGATGTTCAAGGCAGATTCTTTGAATTGTTAGATAAAAATATTATGCTAAAGAATCCCTTGAAAGAGTCAAGAGTGAGAATATCATGCTGAATATTGAATTGACTCAATATAAAATGTTGTGTACTAACATTGATTCTTGCAGGTCTACTGAAGTTCCTTTAATCATGTTTAATAATGAACTAGAGCATGTTAAGAAAGAGATAAAGGAAACCAATGATAAAAATGAGAAACTAGAAAAGGACCTAGAAATTGCAAGAAAAAGTAAAAATACAGCAAGCACGGGTGTTCCCAAGTGGGTAAAGGAAGCTCAGACAAAAAGAACAGAAGGTCTAGGCTATGTTCATAAAAGAAGTCCACTGGAAAGAAAAAGAAATATGTGAACTTACCTAGTGAGACTGTTTGTTCTTTTTGTGGTAAAAAGGAACATCGCAGTGAAGAATGTACTAAGAAAGCAAATCTGTACAATAAGAATGTGAACTATGTTTGGCAGAAGAAATCTGATTTAAATGTGTCAACACAGGAACCCATGAATGAAAGGGTTCCTGCTACTAACCCTTAATTTCTTTTGCAGGTCGCAGTGAGGGGGAACAACCAGTGGTACCTCGATAGCGGTTGTTCTAAGCACATGACAGGAGATGAATCCAGATTTCTCTCACTGACGGCCTATACAGGGGGAACAGTGACCTTTGGAGACAATAAGAAAGGCAACATTGTTGCTGTTGGCAAAGTAGGAAGGTCAAGTTCCCATGCAATTGACAATGTATTTTTAGTCGAGGGTTTGAAGCATAATCTACTCAGTATTTCTCAGTTTTGTGATAAAGGAAACTTTGTAAGCTTTTCTTCTGAAAAATGCAAAATCATCAACAATAACACTGGTAAAATCGTTTTGGAAGGAACTCGTAAAGGGAACACATATACCGTGGACCTTAACAAAGTTCCAAAATACAATCTATCTTGTTTAAGTGTTATTGAGGATGATCCACTTCTATGGCATAAACGTTTTGGACATGCTAGTCTTTTATTGCTTGACAAATTAAGGTCAAAGGACTTGGTAATCGGATTACCTTCTATCAAATTCCTAAATGACAAAATTTGTGAAAGCCTGCATCAAAGGAAAGCATGTTCGATCATCATTTAAATCAAAGAAAATGGTAAGCACCACAAAACCATTGGAACTCATTCATATGGATTTGTGTGGCCCCGTTAGAATTCAAAGTAGAAGTGGAAAAAGATATGTCTTAGTTCTTGTGGATGATTATTCTAGATTTACATGGGTCATATTCTTACATAGTAAAGATGAAACTTTTGATATGTTTATGACTTTCTTGAAAAAGACACAAAAATCAATAGGTAATCAACTTATTCATATGAGAACTGACCATGGTACGGAATTCGAAAATTCCAAGTTTGATGAATTTTGCAGAGAACAGGGAATAAGTCACAATTTCTCAGCGCCAAGAACACCACAACAAAATGGTGTGGTTGAGAGGAAGAACCGAACATTGGAAGACATGGCAAGAACAATGCTAATAGCAAGTGGGCTTCCAAGGAATTTTTGGGCAGAAGCCGTCAACACAGCATGCTATATCGTCAACCGAGCCATGCTCAGACCAATGTTGGACAAGACACCTTATGAACTGTTAAAAGGGAGAAAACCTAATATTACTCATTTAAGAGCTTTTTGGATGCAAATGCTTTGTTCACAATAATGATAAAAGAAATTTTGGAAAATTTGATGAAAGGAGTGATGAAGCAGTCTTTTTAGGATATGCATCTAATAGTAAAGCTTATAGAGTTTACAATAAGAGGACTATGTGTGTAGAAGAAAGTATACATGTGATTTTTGATGAAACTAATAATTATGAATGTGTACAGGAATATGAAGATGGAGATTTCAAAATTGGTCTCACTCGTTCAACAGACCAAGATGAAGAATTAACTCCCAAAAAGCAGCCTGTTCGAATTACTGGAAATGCTGATAAGGAACCTACTGAAGTTCCAAACAATACTGAAGCCTCTGATCAAAATACAGAAGAAACAGAAAATACAGAAGGCGAAGCAAATGCAGAAGCAGAACACCATGAAGAAATGGAAGAAAGAGCAACTCAAAATAACACTTTTATACCAGCTCAATCATTCCAACCAAAGCCATGGAAACATCAAAGGTCACACCCCCTGGATAAAATTATAAGTGACCTAAGCAAGGGAACTCAGACGAGATCCCAACTGAGAAACTTTTGCGCATTCAATGCCTTCCTATCAACACTGGAACCTCGAAATCACAAAGAAGCCTTGGAAGATGCTGATTGGATTGTTGCCATGCAAGAGGAATTAAATGAATTCGAAAGAAACAAAGTGTGGCACCTTGAACCTAAACCAAAGAATCAAAAGGTTATTGGTCTCAAATGGGTATACAGGAATAAGCTAGATGAACATGGCACAATTGTAAGGAACAAGGCAAGATTGGTTGTTAAAGGCTACAATCAGCAGGAAGGTATCGATTTTGAGGAGACTTTTGCTCCTGTAGCTAGATTAGAAGCAATTCGTATTTTAATTGCATTTGCTGCATTTATGGGTTTTAAACTTTATCAAATGGACGTCAAATGTGCTTTTTTAAATGGTTTTTTAAAGGAAGACGTCTATGTTGAACAACCACCTGGATTTGAGGATCCAAACTTTCCTAACCATGTTTTTTAAACTTGATAAAGCACTGTATGGATTAAAACAAGCTCCAAGAGCATGGTATGAAAGACTTTCAAAATTCCTTTTACAAAATGATTTTAAAAGAGGAAAAGTTGACAAAACTTTGTTCTTAAAATCAAAAGGAACTCATTTATTAATTGTACAAATTTATGTTGATGATATTATTTTTGGTGCAACTAATGAATCCTTGTGCAAGTACTTTGCTGATTTAATGAGCAGTGAGTTTGAGATGAGCATGATGGGGGAACTCAACTTCTTCCTTGGGCTCCAAATTAAGCAAACTAACGAAGGAATAATGATCCATCAGCAGAAATATGTGAAGGAGTTATTAAAAAAATACGGTATGGAAAGCACAAAGATAAACCACACTCCCATGGGAACAACCACAAGGTTGGACCAAGACCCCAAGGGAACTCGTGTGGATCAAACAAAATACAGAGGTATGATTGGTTCCTTGTTATATTTAACTGCTAGCAGACCTGACATTTCGTTTAGTGTAGGTCTTTGTGCTAGATTTCAATCGGATCCAAAGGAATCGCATCTAACAGCCGTCAAAAGAATTCTACGATACTTGAAAGGGACGGAAGACTTGTGTCTGTTTTATCCAAAAAGTGACTCGTTTGACCTAAAAGGATATGCTGATGCTGACTATGCAGGAGATTTGGTAAATCGTAAAAGCACGTCAGGTATGGTCCAATTCTTAGGCTCTTGCATGGTTTCTTGGAGTTCCAAGAAACAAAACACTGTTGCTCTATCCACTGCCGAAGCAGAATATGTGGCTGCTGCTGCATGTTGCTCTCAATTGCTATGGATAAAAACAACAGTTGCGTGACTATGGCATTATTTTAGAGTGCGTTCCTATTCATTGTGATAACACAAGTGCCATTTGCATTTCTAAAGATCCAGTACAACACTCTAAAGTTAAGCATATACATGTAAGGCATCACTTTTTGAAAGA